AGCGCACACTCGACCCAAATAGGAGCGCACACTCGAACCCTCCCCCCAAATCAAGGACCGAAGGGGAACATGATATCGCAGCTCAAGCACGCTATGTGGAAAATAGCGTGCTATCACACGTCGAAGACAAAAACCTCGGCATGGAAAGTTGTTGATGCAAATCTGTGACAGAGCAAATCTGTCCAAGCAAGTATACGACCAAGGAGCTCGGAAAACGAGACCAGTTCAACTCCCTAAGCCTCTGGGCCACGGACTGGGCACTGTCGTATCCGGCATGGGTGTTCGGGACCTACAGCAGTCTCAAATTCAAACAGACTCACTGCGTAAGGGACAAACGCAGGAGAACCCCAACAGCGAACAGGCACCACAAGCTCCGTTCCACCATGCTGGAAAGACTAGAGATGCTGAAGACATGCACAAGCTATTCCCTCTCGTTGGTCTACTTATCTTGCAAAGGACTTGCATGGACGACTCAACTGGATACAGTCGCTTCCACATACTCAATTGGTATGTTGATTCTGCCCTGCAGCTACACCCCTTGAGATCTCAAGAGCCTCGTGCCAGTGGCTGTCGGGCTGATGGAAGAGGCTAGGATCAAGCACCTCAGCTGCCGGTCTGTTGTGTAAAATGAAGCAAAAGTTGATTTCAATGGAAGCAATTTAGGATGTTGAGGCAAGGGCCATTGCAACTGCTGCGATTGGGGCAAAGCAGTTTTCAAATTGAGCCCGTGGCTGCCCAGAGGCCTTGAACGAGTATATAAGCATGATCACGCTTCTGCTGCGCAAGCATGAGGTGGACCGAATCTGTGAAGCATCTATCTCCACGAACCCCAAACAAACCCCTCTCAGGGAGGCCCCTCGTTTTCTGCCGGAGCGTGCGCGGGCGCGCGCCTGTACGCAGAAGCGGAGCTCAACCCGGGCTCGCAGCGGGATCTCAGGGAAGTCCCTGGAGCTGGCCGTGGGCTCGGAGAGGGGGCCCGAGAGAGAGATCCGTCACTCGACCACGACAGCGGTGCCGTAGACCATCACTTCGGAGGTGGTGGCCTCGAGCACTGGAATCGCACGAGTTTCCCCTTCTGTTGCTCCTGTCAAGAAAGGATTTCGCATGATCTCTGCGCGCGCTCGCTGGCTTTGCAAGGCGCCGCGTGCCGTCGATACCGAGAAGCTGAGGTGCTGACGGCGATGTTGGTGGATGAAAGGCGCAGGCTGATCACCTCAAGACCGTCGAGGTAATGATTCGTACAAAACTGCTGTCGCCTGCAGGACTGCAAATGCAAAGGCAAGTCGGTCCCATCGATCCCATCGTTTTCCAAGGGCCCCACGGCATTCGCGCCCAGCTTTGCAGCCTCGTCCTGGACAACTAGTCGAAAAAGGATGTCGGTGACATAAGAGCCGAGTTGACGTGGGCTAGAGTGTTCTCCACATGCTGCATCGTCGTCGCTGTCCTCCATCCTGGATATTGCTTCTTCACGCGCATCCTGCAGCAATATGTGCTGGGTCAGAATGGCAGTGGGCATTCATGACTGCAATGCATGATCGGAATCGAGGATGCAAGGACGAGGTTTCACGAGTTGTACAACGTTCTCCCAACTTCCAGCCGGACATGACATCAAACGTCCGAAGTATCACGCCATCCGAAGCACGTATCGGTTCTGGATTCCTTGTGCTGAAGTCCTGCATCAGCTGCGTGTAGTGTGGGAGCTCTCCGCCAAAAACCTAGTTGCACAGCGGGTGGGATTACAAACTGTTGCCCATTTGCGCAATCCAGATTGAATCCAAGGCCAACAATACAACAACTGCCAACCAACCCAAGAACACATTCTGGTTTTCACCCTTTTCCATGAGACCCTGTTCAAGACTTTCGCGGTTCTCCAGCAAGCACAGGCAGCCACAGCGTTGATCAACCAGACTGTGGCAACAAACACTGCTTGAGGCAAACTGGGATAAAAGAACTGCGTTAGGCCCACTTCCCTCTTGAACAATTGCCTAAGAATGGAACTAGGGCTGAATGGTTGCAGAAGGTATTCGGACTTTCGTATCCGCAGACTATGGCATCTCCCTTCCTTGTCCAACACAGGCGCCAAGCTCCACTCGATTGCTGGGAAACACAGCCACAAAGGCAAGCAATACGTCGTATGCCCGCCAGAATCTTGAAGCCCAATACCACACCAAATCTTCTTTGCCGGAAACCCGAAGCACCGGACATCCGACTATAGGAAAGCTCGCTCTTCCCTCAGGATCCGGCCGCGCGTATGGAGCTTGCGAAATCCTTCGTCACATCTTTGGCCCGCACCTGAACATGGTCCAGTTTTGCAGAACTATCGCTGCATTCGCAGTTCATGGGCTGGGCGCATTCACTTTGAAGCTCATGCAAAACGAAACGTGGCAAACTGTTCCGCGACCCCAAACACACGCAAAACGAGGCCTCTTTCCTTGAACCAACCGGCTTTCTCTTTCTTCCGGACCCTTGCTTGAACCCCCTATCTGTTCACCTCCTAGTTGCCTTTTCTGGTTGATCCGTGTCTTCTGCCTGTGGCCGGGGGTGGGGGGGGAACGATGTCAGCAGGAAGAGGCGAGGTATCAACAGGCTTGGGGGAACAAGGCAGGAAGCAGCCGGAGCACAGGGGCTTGTCAAACAGGAAAGGAAGGGGTACAACGAAAACAAGCCCACCGACACACGGAAGTGGTGCCTGAAAAACTCTGACATGTCTTTCTCCAAGAGTCGCGCAGTTGAGCCCATCACCAGGCCCTTGTACCTTGGCGTGGACTGCAACTACGAACTCCTATCACTATCCGTCAGCCGTTTTGGATGTTGAATGCGCCGCAGCCCAAACAAGACTCCCAAGAGAAGCACTGTGAGCTGACACTTGGCGGATAGACAAACCCAAAGCCTAGGGGGTCGAGACTGGAGGCTAGATGTTTATGTTGTCTTGCCTGGCTGCTGAGTGCAACCTTGAGGTTCCCTCTTCTTCAGCTTCGTGTGTGCGAAGATGACATCTGTCTGGAAGACCCCTGAACGTGTCGTAGGCTTTCCACCAAACCCGAAACGAAACCAAGCGCTCTCTAGGCAGCAGGCTCTTTGACAGTAAAGCCCACGATCTGATCCGATGTCGCGAGCCTCACAGCCCATACAGAGACGGTTTCGAAACGAGTGCTTCTGCAGATCAAGGAAATCGCAGCTGTTTGAACAGGGTAGGCTCGTTCTGCAGTGGACTTGGTAGATGTCCACATAGAACATTGTGGTATGTGACAGCGTTAGTCTTCCCTCGCTGCTTTAATCGTCAGTCCGTAGTCCAAGGCTCAAACTGGATCTTCGGACGCGCTGGACTCCCTGACAGTCAACCGAGCAAGGACGAGGCCGATGAGTAGGAATCAGCTGCAGTTCACGATTTATGCTGGTTCGAGGCTGCCGACGGGCTCGTGTCAATGCAGACATGAAGCGCCTCTGCTGCAACCGTTCATATGCCTAGGACTGATTGTCCCAATTCGTGTGACAGCATCGTCAGACTCATTTTCCATGACCCTGTTTAGCGCAGCAATCAAGACATCATGAGTCATCCTTGTCCTCCTCAAAATCCGCGTAATCGCACCCACGCCCACTATCATCACCATCACAGCAATCATCACCGTTAATGCAGAGATCAGCATTTTCACTTGAAAAATCTTGAAAACAATAACGAATCAGAATCATGAAAAGGTTGCTCGAAAACGGTTCGAAACGCGAAACAACGACACGACGACATTGGAGAACGGCGAACAACACGATACGAGAAAAGCGCGATACATGACAGGAAGACAGATAAACACCATGTGAGGACACGGACACGATGACCAGCACAAAATCGCTACTAAAGGAGTCCAGAGAACGACCGTTACACCTCCTCCAATCCCTGTGCCGGTTGATGCTCCGAAAAAGACTGCTGCTGTCAAAATCAACAAGCTTCGCGAACACATAAATGCAATTGATGAAGCTCGAAATCCCTGAAGCGAGGACAGAGCATTGAAATCAAACCCACCTCCACTGCAAAAGCAGCGAAGTTGCATCGGACTCAGGTGCACATGCAACTTTCAGGGGTAAGGGCTTGCGAAGGCTCAGAAGTTGTTTCCGCTGGTCCATCCTTTTGACATTGCTTGCACTGTGGTGGGGGTCCTTCGCTGCATCGGTGTGAGGTGTCGGGTCTTGCGTGGGCCGGCTAACCCGAATCAAAAGAAAGGAGCTGCACCAACCAGGACAACGAAACTCTTACGACTCTGCACCAAAACTTTCACGAAACGACGGCAAACGACGAACCCTCAGACGCAACCGAAGCATGCTGCCGAACTCCGAAGTCAATCATGTTACCATATGAAGCCAGCCTCCTGCCGAAAAGCAAGGAACCACTGACAACCAGCTCGAAACTGCAAAACAAACCCGGACGTACGCTTGAGACCAGAGACCTCCAAACCCTCAAACCAAAGCCACAGACCGTTCCGAGTACAGGATAGTGTATTATAACATACTGCACTATACACCATAAAGCTATACAACAATATACTATGTCACCATAAAACTATAATATGATATATTATGTTATATTAAAGTAGTATCTCACTATCATGACAACAAAAAAAGCCTCGAGCTCGGACCCCCGAAGCGTTGAGGCCCCCGCCGCAGGCGCCCAGAAGCTCCTCCTTGTTTCGGGGCATCGGCCCACGGATTGTTTGGGGGGCACTTGGTTTTGGGGGGCACTTGGTGGAGTTCCCTGTTTTATGGGTTTGGGGCTTTAGGGTTTAGGGTTTAGGGTTTGGGGTTTAGGGTTTAGGGTTTAGGGTTTAGGGTTTGGGGTTTAGGGTTTAGGGTTTAGGGTTTAGGGTCTGCGGTTTAGGGTTTAGAGATTAGGGTAAAGAGAGTCCTTTATAAAAACCCTCTTGTGCGGAGAATCTGAATGGAAGGGCTGCAGATTGGAGGCTAGCAGTGTTAGCACCTGCTTTTGCGCACGACGTGCTTGCCAAGCAACTCAAGGAAGCCATCGCCGCGATGGCCATCGCGAAGACCACTGGCTGTTGATGTCGTTCAAAGCTAGGCGACCAGGCATGGCTTGGGTGGAAAGGTGTGGTTTGCAGGCTGTTTGAACGGTCTAGAATCCTCACACGCGAACGGTGACCCGGTTGTTCTTGCGTCGTAGCTACTGCTCACGTGCCGTTTGATCCAGGCAAAGCCTCACCCTTCGGGGAGATTGTCGTCTTCCAAAAGTGATGCGAAACTCAAACTCTCAGACGGCATAGTGCGATGGCTTTGTGGGTGCATTAACATCCATGAGGCCATAAGGTTCTTTCCAATTTTTGGGTTTCAAGATAATATGAGTTTGAAGATGCCAACACTCCATCCGTGTATAGTCATGCTAGTAGCTGGCATGGGTGGGATCCTTGTGAAATCGTTGTGTGCAAACGGGAATGGCTCACACGATCGGCAGAAGCAAGGATCGACATCAGAGGCGAAGAGCAGGCTCGCTGCGACCGGGTTTTCATGAATGGTGTGGATCCTCGAAGGGAGGAAGCCGGGTGGCAGGCCTCGCCCGAGAGGGTCTCATCGGAAATCAGAGGGCCTGTGGAGCCGAATATGGAGACGACCGCAAGTCGGGCAATCCTGGAGGCTGATGTGAGACCGGAAGATGAAAGCGACTTTGTCTCGATGACGGCGGGTCCTCCGTCACCACGACATATGCGTGCGGCAGCTGGATCTGAAACAAATTAACCGCATCAGGTCAAGCGGACAGTGGAGACACTCGTACTAAACTGCGGAAGGACTGCCTGGAGTGCGGTGGGTTTCAAGGCTGACAGACTTCTCGAGGGCCACTGCATGGGCGGTAGGAGTGTTTTTTTTTGCTGTTGCTGTTGTTTGCTGTTGCTGCCGGGTTGCTTTTTTTTTGCCGTTGCTGCGGGGGGAGTGCTCTTTTTTGCTGTTGCAGCGGGGGTTGTTTTTCTGCTGTTGCTGCCGGATGGAGAATGTTTTTTTTGCTGTTGCTGCGGGAGGG